TTGAAAAATTTGTTTGTGCGTCAATCACTGTCTTATATCAGCAAAAACATTTTTTAGGCAAAGACACAGTTACAGTTTCATGAAGCGTTCATCAGTGAGCTTTTATTTTCAGACAAAGAAAAAGTCGGGTTTTGTACATTACTTGAAAAATCTTTGAATTGTCCGGAGCAAAATGAAGCAATTTGTCAAAAATGCGGGAAATTGGCGCGCATAGCTTCAAAACGTCGTGTTCGAGTACTTCCAAATGTGCTGGCATTAGATGTGACTGCGGATTCGGAGGCGGAACAAAATTTCTGGAGCACACAAATTCAGGTGATTGAAATGATTCGTGGACTTCGTTACAGATTGAGCAGAGCACTCTGCTAGAAATGTCGTAAGCTGTGGTAGGTCGTATCGGTAAACCTAGTAAGTGGCAGCTTGTATTTCGATCTTCGTAGCGTACTGATAGCGCTATCCGCCATATTCGACGGTGGTTTGTCTGAAATTAGAATTTCAGTATATAGCAATAAACACCCACTATGCTGACATCCATGTTCCCAGCCATCGACACTTCTAGGAGCGAGTGGTTGCTATTAGCATTACTTCCCAAGGGCCTTTACCTCTTTCTGAGAGCTAATACGGAGAGAATTTTTGATTTCTGAATTTCGTTTACGGGTTACAGTTGTTCGAAAGCGCATCGCATAACTTGATTGAGACTTCAGGGAATGTTTTAGTACATATCGAAATTTAGTTTGGCTTTGTGGATACTGAGCTTCCTTATTTGGGCCGTTCTCATACAGTTGTAGTTCGTGAAACCCGTGAAGTGGACTACTTTCGGTTTTAGTTTCCCCTAGGACGAGACATCTCTTTCAAATACAATTTGAAACGAATTATTTTCAGGCATTTGAAAATCGACCAGCCGGATCGACAAATATGTTGGGGGAACGAGTGTCAAAAATATCCGGCAGATTTGGCCACGAGTGTAAGGGCCTAAACTACCGACACGCTCATGGCACTGATAGGTTATCATTTTTGCAGTCCTTTTCTCCGCTTATTGCGAGTTAAATTGTTTTTTTTTTTTGTTGTGTAAGTGCCTTAGTTTCTGGAATTCCCGAATTGGAAAATGTTGATAAATTGCACTTGGATAGACATACACACAAACACACACACATACACAAACACAGGAGCGTGAAAATATGCGTTTTGTACAGCTGATACATAGCACAAAACACTTAAAAACGAAGTGAGAAGTGGAATTAGTCTTTGGTATTTCAGAAAGTTTTTGTAATACATGCGTCTAATTCTCAGATCACTGTTACCTTCAGTATTTTGCATTTTTGAATTTGTGGTTTTTCTTATATATCAGTGGTGAATGAGACGTAGTTTGCAGTGGTGGTTCTGCTACTTCGGAGGCTGATACTCATTACATACCAGCTGTTGTGAATGTCAAAGTGGCCGATGGAATTTGTACCGTTTCTGAGGTAAAGATAAAACTTTACTAAAAAAAAAAGTTCAAAAAAAGCTGATAGAGAATGAGTAAGGAAATGGGCGAGGATGATAGCGACTGGGCTTAGAGAGCGGCATATTCCAGCTGTCGGGAGGATTTTTCAAAAATAATTAGTGGCGAGTTTTGAATTGGCACAAGTGGGTGTCCAAAAAATCGTGAAAAATGAGCGCACGGAATTGCGGGGGTCACTCACCGTTTAGCTAGATTACAAGGATTTTTTC